TAGTTATCCGTGCAAAGAGTTCTGCCAATACAACAAAGAGTACTCTGGTCTAGTTCCACTGTGCAAAACAGTTAATTTGTTTAATGCTCACACTAACCTTGGCTATGGAGTATTGTGTTTAACTTAGTCTGATGCGTTATATTCCCCAAATTTATGCTTTGAATTTCCCCTTTAAATAATTCAAAAACTTGATTAAAGACTTTTCTTCATATTAGGGACCTTCAACTGAGCTCAATGGATCATTCCTGCCGACCTCTTACTTTGTGTGCCAGTTGATGCCTTGAACAGAACAGGTCTGGTCTCTTTTCACCAATCTAGGTAAGATAGGTTCTATCCTCCTAGCTGGAATTTTGGCAAAAATCTTAACATCCGAGTTAAAGAATGAAATGAGTTGCTACATGCAGTATTATGGAAATTGCAGGCCTGTTATAGTTGTTCAGTGAGCTACTGTAGGCTCATAGGACTCCCAAGGGAGACTCCTGTAATTTACAGGCCTTGAGGGTTATTAGTTACACCATGGGCCTCTCCAGCCCTCAGGATTTTGAGGTCCTAAAGGTGGTTTGAAGTCATGTTCGCTCCTCTGCCCTTGGGCTGTGAGTTCTGGGCTGCTCTTGTGCATACCACAGGATCTCACCCTATGCCTTTTTTTGAAAAATAACACTTAAATGGATGACCTCTATTAATAAGTTCCATGAGCATATTTTTAAAAAGCAGTGCAAGAATTTTCAGTTTTTTAATCTCTGTCTTAGGCTATGTGTATGAATTCTTGAGGAATAAACGCACGCTAGCTTTAGGAAAAACCACTTTAATATCCCAGCTGGGGGGTGGGGGGTTGTCGCAGACGGCAGGGAGTCAGCCCTTACTGATACGAGGCCCTCCGCCTCACACTCAAGTGTCTGAGGTATTTATACCTTTTACAAAGTCACAGTGGAAATTTACAGAGAAAAGAGGAAGTAAGGTACTTTACCCTTAAATGGTAACATCTGCTTGACCTGTTGACCTGTTGCAAGCAGTATAGTTTTTTGCTTAAATGGCATTGTGGTTTCTTGCTCAACTTGCTTAAGAAGCTTGCTTCTGACGCAGGACACACTGCGTCTTTGGCCAAGCTAGTGAGGCCTACCTCTACAACAGGGAAGGTTTGACGGTGAAAGTGCTGTCAACATGCAAAAGTCTCCAAAAGAGGAAACTGGTCAAACCATTTTTTTGGGGTTTTTTTGGTCTTCCATTGTTGACATTTCATGGCTGCATTGCTAGCACCCTATTGAGAGACAGAGCAAAGCAATGTGGGTAAGCATCCCACAGTGCAGTATTGTGGGAAAACAGAGCTGATCCCTGCCTTGTAGGGATTCCCTTGTAGCTCTGTGTGATCTCTGTGCTGAGGAATATCAAAGCAGCACAGCAGTCTGTCCAGCTCTTCCCCAGCAACAGCAGTCTGCCTGCTGCAGTGTCACTAGAAGGGAAGAACAGGAGCATTTCATTCATTTGTTCTGTGTTTGTTCCGCAAATGGTACAGCTCACTCAGCTGTCAGATACTTCCTGGAACTTTGAAAGGGGAGGGTTGCATTACCTGACTGCAGGGCAGCAGAGATGTAAAAACACTGAACATAGTCATTAGAATAGGCATTGTAGGATTCTGGCAGAAGCCTGTTTTCTCAACAAAGAGCAGAGTCCACATTGGCTCTTTATCGACAATAAAGGGAGAGGAGAGACACAAGTCTCTCACAAAGGAGGAAGTTTTTTGTTGCCAAAACTGGGTGTTTTCCCCAGCAGAAGTCTCATTGTAATGTAAACACTCTCACGGTTTTGTCACCAAAGGGCAGTTTTTGGTGACATGATGTGCCAGTGTAGACAAGGCTTTCATGTGTTTCTTTCAGTCCCTCTTTTTCTCGAGGCAGTACTTATTAATAAGTTTCCCTCTCAGAAACATTCCCGTGCGTTTCCCAATCAATATCCCTGGAAGTCATATATGCTGGAGCTGTGGGTGCTATTGCACCCGTGGGCTTGAAGTGGCTTCTATTTTGTACCTGGTTTAAAGTTTGTTTCAGTGGGTGTCAGTATCCCCACTTCAAAAATTATTCTAGCATGCCTGTTGGAGGTTTCTAAATCTTTTAGTTTTGAAATATTTTACATTCTTTCCTAAAATCACTATCTTTGAGCTGTGGGAAATCAAGTATATCTAATGTTGCTGCTCATTCTTTCTGACCTGGCTGAAGATGGATTAAGTACTGTTTTTAATTTGCATTCCAGTCTGTTTTTACTTGCGAACTGAATACATTTGAGAAACCATTAAAAAGTCAGTAGAGAGAGAACCTCCTATGCCTTTTGTGTTCACCTTTCAGACTGCAGTTGCACTTCAACTTTGATCTGCTTAACTTAGTGGGTGTCCGTTGTGTATAGAACTGATACTGCATTAATTGCCTATATTCAGCATTTCCTAAACTCTACTTAACAAGATGGACTGTTCAGTTGGAGTATTAAATCCTTTCCTCAAATATATTGTTAGAGTTTTTCGAATTTTAGCTTTAACAGCCCTAGGGCTGTCGCTACACTTCAAAGGCAAAAGCGGTGCGTGGAGCCTAGTTTCATCTGGGGATTCCCCTGTTGACCTCGGGCTCCATGCAGCGCTGCTGCTTTGAAATGCCGCGGGGAGCCTGGCATCAGGCTCCTCATGGCATTTAAAGGTGACAGCGCCCTGTGGAGCCCAGGATTATCTGGGGACTCCCCTGCTGATCTCGGGCTCCATGCAGTGCTGCCACTTTGGAAAAATAGTGGGGAGTCTCGTGTCAGACTCCACACAGTGTTTCAAAGTTGTAGCACCCCATGGAGCCTGGGGTCAGTGAGGGGGCCCCAGCTGAACCCAGGCTCCACGCGGCGCTGCCACTTTCAAGTACTCCCACCTCTCCCCCCACCTTTGTTGCCTCTTTCTGATAGAGGCAGCAAGGGGGGATGAGAAGGAAGCAACTAGTCGGCTAGCCTGTCGACTATATGATAAGCATTTGCTTATCGGATAGTCGACTAGTCCTTCACTTCCCTACTTGCAAAATTGTCTTGTTCTCAAGCAGATGATAATTTCTACGGAAGACATGTTTCACCTTTGGGAAGCTATTGTGTCGAGCCTTTGAGAGAGAAAACAATACCAAAAGATTTTTTTTCAGACTACTACTTGTGAATGTGAGGTAAAGAAAAATGATCAGGTTTTCCACAGCCATCCCAAATAGTCTAGAGCACTAACTAAATAATGAAAAAGGAGGTTCTGGTTTATCTCTTCATTTTTCAATCTAGGATCTCTCCATTGGTAGATGATTTTCAGTTCTTCAGGGAAACTGATAATATGTATACTCTAGGCCGGGGGAGTCCTGTGGCACTTTAAAGACTAACAGGTTTATTTGGGTATAAGCTTTCATGGGCAAAAACGACTTTGTCAGATGCAGAAATGATTTTTTTACCCACAAAAGCTTATGCCCAAATAAATCTGTTAGTATTTCAGGTGCCATAGGACTCCTCATTGTTTTTTCAGTTACAGACTAACACGGCCACCCCTCTGAGACTTATATGAATACTATTATTTCTTCTCTGATTTCTTCAAAAGTTGATTTTTTTTTTTTTTTTTTTGCTTTTCTATAGGAGTAGTTGTTACAATAAAACTCAAGAGGTTTCAAGGGTTATTTTATGGTCTCTAAGACAGTGGTTCCCAACTGCCGATCCATGGACCAGTGCTGGGCCACAAACGGCTGGCTGCTGGGCCGAGGTACACTGTGGCGGGTTGCTCAGCAGTACGGTGGGTTGCTCACTAGAACTCAGCAGCAGTGGGTAGAGATTTGGGGAGCCAGGGCTAGGCTTGGCCCCAGCAGCAAAAAGAGACTCGTAGCCGCTGCTTGCAATGACTCTGGGGCCAGGCTCAGATCCCCGAGTCCTGACAGAGGCTGCTGCTGGGTCCTTGGAGCTTGGGGCTGCAGCTGGGAGGGGGAATCTCCAGCAGGGCTAGTTCCACTGTTCCCCAGGAGCCTCTCCCAGGGCAGCGTCCCCAGCCTGGTCGGCCCCTGCCCGGCCCCTGCCCAGCCCAGCCTCTGCCCCAGGGTGGACAGTGCTTGGGGGCAGGAAAGAGAGACCCCCCCTCCCTCTGTTCTCCACTCCTGGGAGCGGGGCCCCCGGGCTGCTGCCAGCAGAGATGGCTGTCTGGGACCTAGGGAAGCTGCTGCCAGCTCTCAGTGTGTGCAGGGTGAGGGAAACCAGCCATGGGAGGGTGGAGTGGGGGTTGGGGGCAGATAAGGAGAGTGAGGGGGAACAGGGATGTGTGAGATGGGGGCAGAAGGGAGATGCAGGAGGTGCTGAAGAGATGTTGGGGAGATTTAAGGGATACTTATGGAGAGGACGGGAGCGGGGGTGCAATGGAGGGAAACTCTGAGGTGGGAGTTACAGGGAAGGAAAGGGGAGGGGAGGCTGGGGGGAAGACTGTGGGAGCAAGAGCAACCTAGCTGGGGAAAGGGAGACACAGGGCAGGGATTGTACAGAAGGAGATGGGGGAGATACAATGGCAGCTCTCTGACCCCATGGGGCAGGAAGGGGGAAGGGCAGAGTGTACTGGTTGTAGCTCTAGGGGGCTCCTCTGCCCTTGACAAAATTTCAGTTGCTAAATAGGGTGCCCCACATGCCCCCTGCCCCTGAGGGTGCCACCCCCTACCCCAAGGGTTCCCCTCCCTGCACCCTCCCTCTGCTGGCACCAGTCGCCCTTGGGGAAGGGGCTGCCCCACCCAGCAGCCAGAGGAGAATTCTTTCTGTGACGTTTTTTTAGTGTTGTAGATATCTGCAAACTCTGATCCATTACAACATGTATTGTGTGTGTACAGATGAGATGTAAAATATAACCTGGCCTGTTAAAATTAATTACCATAATGAATATGCAAATAAAATGGTACCTGTCTGCCGAAAGTTTGTGAATAGGTTTGCTGGTTGGTGGTATAAAAAAGGATGGGATCCATTGCTCTAAGAAATCAGGAGGTATATATTCAATGCTGGACTTAAAATTTGTAAATTGTGTAGGTGTGTGTGTGTGTGTGATATATATACACACACGTATACAGCACTTCTAGATCAGTTATTATAGACCATTCCAGTGGATTGTGATTTTTGCATCTGTGTGGATTTTTAGCCTGCATATATTTGGATAGCACTTACATACTGATTTCAGCAATAACTTACTCTACTGCTGGACCATAATTATCGTTGATAGTACATTCTGCTTTTCAGGGTGTTTATAAAAGAGGGTGGTGGAAGAAGAGACCCTACAGAAAAGGAACTGAATAACTCTGATTTTGGTT